AGCCATGTATGCATGGCAGCACGCTGCCTCCGGTCTCCATGCGATTCTTTTTCCACGTGGACACGGGTCTTATGGCAAGCCTTATCGACGTCCGCGTCCGCATAGTAGATGCCGACGCCACGTACCTTATCGCGCGACGTTTTTCCCGTCTCCACAGTCCGCCAACAGGCGGAAGAGTGGACGCCCGACGCGGACACCTCTCTCACGTTTGCAGTGCACGAGAAAGAATTGACAGGCGACATGAAAAGAGACCCGCATGCATGAAAGCTTCAGTATAATGGCTCAATGATGATGTCTCCGAACCGAGCTAGTAGAGGATTACTTCAGACTTATACTCCTACACAGACATAGTACTAACTAATAACGTGCTGGCTGTCAGCTTCATCCCGTGCTCGGGTCGTTGATCTAACACTCCACGCGGCTGGGCAGTGGGCACCAACATATAATTAGCCAACAAGTTAAATTTTCAAGCTTATTGTCGTCGTACCACTACTATCCACTACTATCCAAGTCTGTTTCTCACGCCTCAAGCTTGTCTTCTCTTAATGGAAACATGCTGACACACGGTCACCAAGGGGAAGAAAAAAGACAGCGGCTCAAGCTTCAAGCACGTCACAGTTGGTCGTCATCCCTAGCTCGACGAAGAGTACTTGGTCGATCGTTTTCTTTATTTTAGAATACTCGATAATACAGTACACACTTTATACTTTACAGCTTGTTGATCATCGGAGCTAAAGCTGACAGATAAGCCTATGATTTCGTTGGAAATTCTAGTTTTGTGTAATGGACATGCTTTTAGGTTCTGTGAATCTTCTTAGGGCCATCTGGCCCATCATTACTCCTAACAAACTCTTTCGGCGGAATGGCGGTACAGCCAGTACTCTCAGACCTCGGCCCATTTCAATTGCATTACTATTACCACCGTACAACGGACGCAATGGAGCCTAGAGCGCAATATTATTATTGGGCCGTATTTTCGCCATCCATAGCACGCACGCATTTTTGGCACATCCAACCATTTTCTTTTCATTTGTTCTATTCACTAGTACATAAATGACTTTTGATCCACTTTGAAATATGGCTTTAGTTCCGATATTTTTCGTGCCCAGGACTAGAGAAATCTTTAGTCCCGGTTGATAGCTCCACCCGGGACTAAAGGTCCCTGCCCAACGGTTACCGAGGTGTGTCAGAGGCACGTCAGTGCGAGAATCTTTAGTCCCGGTTTGAGACATGAACCCGGACCCGGTTTGAGACACGAATCTGGACTAAAGGTACCTTTAGTCCCGGTTTATGTCTCAAACCCGGACTAAAGGTGTCTCCAAACTGAATTTAAAAGGAAAGCGTATCTTATCTAAGTTAGATGTGTGGTGGTAGGTGAGATGGTAACACGTGCAAGAGCTAAAGTGGAAGGTCGTAGGTTCGAATCTCCACAGCTGCAACTTTTTTTTTACCCAATAAACACCTCTACTCCCGGTTGGAGGAACCGGGACTAAAAATCAAGACCTTTAGTCCCGATTGCATAGTCCCAGTTCCAAAATCGGGATTAAAGGGGGTTGAGAACCGGGACTACAGCTAGGTTCTCTACTACTGATTTTTGTTTTTTCTATGGTACCGTGATCTCTTTTTTATTTTATCTTATTTTTACTTTCCTTTGTATTTCTATTCTACTTTTGTTTATTCAAATACATTTTCATCCTTCAACTTGATTTTATTTCTTTTATTTTTTCTCTACTCATGGACTAGAATATATTCTCTTAAGATAGGGATATATTATTCTACTGAACTGGATTATACTTTTCTCATGAACTAAAATATTATTCTCTTTGCTTTCTGTTTCCTTGCACTCCTAGAATCAAATACTTTTCTCCTAACCATGGAATATTATTTTCATGTACCAAAATTTTTAATCTATTCATTTTTTTTCATTTATTTTACTTTCCACTCATGGACTAGAATATTCTCTTGACCTAGAATATATATCATTCACGTGAACCTGAAATATTATTTTCCTAAAAACATAATATTGCTCTGTTGAGTTTTTTTTTTCTTTATGAATACAATATTGTTTTCATGAACATGGACTACCATTCTCCTAGACCTGGAATAATGTTGTTTACTAATTTGGAATGTTGTTACACTCCAAATAGTTAGGTATGAGGGTATACATATCCCCAATTAGACATTATGAATAGGGCCTGCCTCGGAGTGACCACCGAATAACTAGTTGATGGAGAAATCCGGTGCCCTACGCCTCGCTAACTAGTTGTTGTTGACCGTTGCTCCATAACTCCGGTGGTTTGTCCAGTGCACCACCGAAAAATCTGGTGCTTAGTCCAAAGCTCTCTGGAATGCACCTCATAATAACTTCAGTGCCTTCACTAGAGAGCTCTGGTGCTCTCTTCTGTTCTCTGCCACTTGTGCATCAGCTTTGTTACATAGCTCCAATGCACACCAGAAGTATATCATGCATCTTTCTTTTCTTCTGTCTAAACTCCATTCACCGGATAACTCCGGTGACCACCCAAAAGCAACTCAGGACTTATAGTACAACCACGAGGACTATATGCCTCCGGTATGGTCTTAGTACTCTGAACTACTCTAGCTTATTAATGATTACGGAAAGGCACAAAAGGAGGTGCCATACTGAGTATGACTTGACTTTCTATAATTGTGTGGGGGGCTGTGATTGTGTGTGCCATTTTGGTAGGTGAGTAACCATATTTACTGGCTAAACCTAAAACCTCGTGGCTACCAACTTGTTAGGGGAACTTTGGAATAGATCGTAGTAAAATCCTGTTGACTCACCTTGGAAGTGTTTCATAGGCTAGTTACCTTCGACAAATGGGGATCACGACTCATGGTTAAAGTTGTACACACTCTACAAAGTTATTGAGACTGATATATCAGTCGTGCTCTCTGTCATGAGCAGTCAGGATTCGTTTTATTAGCTGATTTTACCATGGATGGTTTGGCTTGCCGCAATCTCTAATTACTTACACTTTGGGGTTTAAGCATAACTTAGTTACTCAAATGATATATATATTTGATTAGTCACCGTAATATATATATATATATATATATATGCTGCTCGCCATAGAATAACTAATTCTGTGGCCACTTTGAGTTACGATAATTACTATGCTAATTTACCAGATTATAGTAACTCCTTACTAAGTGATTTACTATAACATTATGGTAAATATCACCGTGAGTTATAGTAACACGAGTATCGTAAATTCATATTCATGTTATCGTAAATTGGTACAAACATTATGGTAAATCAAGGTGGCTATCACTACCGGAAACCGACACTCTGCCGAGTGTCGGAGGCTTTGCCGAGTGTATTTTATCGGCACTCGTCAAAGACGGTCTTTGCCGAGTGCCAAATAAAATACACTCGGCAAAAAAAAAACACTCAACAAAATGCGTCTTTGCCGAGTGCCTTTTTTCTGGCACTCGGCAAAGATGTATTTTGCCGAGTGCTATTTTTCGGCACACGGCAAAATGCGTCTTTGCCGAGTGCCTTTTTTCTGGCACTCGACAAAGATGTATTTTGCCGAGTGCTATTTTTCGGCACACGGCAAAATGCGTCTTTGCCGAGTGCCTTTTTTCTGGCACTCGGCAAAGATGTATTTTGCCGAGTGCCTTTGTTTTGGCACTCGGTAAAGAGGCATTTTGCCGTGTGTATTTTTTTTTGGCCCCCGGCAAATTAGTTTTTCAAAGCAATTTTTGAGGCCCTAAATGAATTTAAATGAAAAAATTTCAACTACAAAGTTGTATAACTTCTCAAGATCTAAAAAGTTTATTTTGGTCATTTTTTTATTTGACAAAGCGACAATAACGTTGTTCATAAAATCTACATCTCTCATATATTAGTTTCATGAAAGTAGAAGAGAGATATAAGATTTGTGAACAATGTTACTACCACTATGTCGGATGAACAAATGACCAAAATAAAACTTTGTAGATCTTGAGAAGTTATGAAATTTTGTAGTTGGCAACATTTTGATTTGAAATCATCTTGTCATGCAAAAACGACGTTTGAATTTGAAAATTTTAAAATTTGAATTTTTCAAAAGACCTCGGATGGAAAAACTTTCTAAATAAAAATTGTAGATCTCAAAAAGTTATGAAACTTTGTAGTTGATCACCTTTTGATTTGAATTTGTTTAGGGCCTCAAACAAGCAATTTACTCTCGGTTTAGTATAATATATGAGGATAGATAATGGAATCTAGATACAAGTGACAGTGTAGTGCAGTGGTAGAGTAGCAGACATGTGAATGAGAGGTCGTGAGTTCGAATCCCGCCGGCTGCGTTAGCTGCGAATTTAGCGTAAAAAATGTAGCGACTTCGATGGAGACGAGCAGGCGCTGGCCGGTGGCGGCCTCCCCGAAAAAAAAATTTAAAAAGTTTTGGTATTATTTTTGGGTTTTTTCGCATTTTTATTTTGCGGAGTGTAAATCTTTGCCGAGTGCTTTTCCTGCACTCGGCAAAGGCTTTGCCGAGTGCCTGACAAAAAACACTCGGCAAAGTCTGTTTGCTGACTAAAATTCCCGAGTGTCGACACTAGGCAAACCCTTTGCCGAGTGTTTTTTAGGCTTTGCCGAGTGCCCAAATATCCTGATTCCCGTAGTGTATAGAATAAGTTATTTTATAGCCAGCTGCAGAATAATCTTACCATATATATATATATATATATATATAACTCTAAAAAATTAGTCACCATCTATTGAGAAAGGTGGCTCGTTTATTTACGCGATTTCTAACAGTCTCTACAAGCTAGAACACATCAGCTCAAATGACATGCATATACCACAATATGAAGCTAATGGATACATAAAAAGTACAAAAAAGAACTACGTAGCACCAAATATATATCTCTAGCTACTAGTGTCGTCGGTCGATCATTTGCTTGCAGCCTTGAACCTCTCTCGCTCATCTTGATAAAATTATTTAAAGAAGTGATTAGCCAATCAAGTTATTAACTATTAATTTCGATCACAAGCACTTGAGGAGGGTCAGCTCTTTTGGCGCTGTGGACTCCCCGCTGCGCTGCTGCTGCTGCTGCTGCTGCTGCTGACGGTGATCCTGCAGGTTGTGTTGCCATCCCTGCCTCCCCAGGCTTATCTCCAGGTTCGGTACCGCGATCTTTGATGGCACCTGATGCTGATGCTTGTTCGTCATCGTCCAGCTGCATGCTGCTTGTTCCGTGCTGCTGCTGATGCTACTCCTGCCGCTCGATGGCGAAGGCACCGCCGCTGCCGTCGACGACGGCCAGCGGCTTGCAACACCTGCGCTCCACGATGATAGTCTCTGCTGCCTGATGGCCGTGTCAGCAAAGCCTGCATGCAGACGCCGCGCAGCAATGTCCCGACCTAGGACGTGCGAGGCAGCGTCTTGCTGCGCGCCTCTGGCCCTCCATCCCTGTAAAAGAATGCATGCGTTGCTTTATAATGTTATAGTAAATCACTTAATAAGGAGTTACTATAATTTAGTAAATTAGTATAGTAATTATCGTAACTCAAAGTAGGTATAGAATAAGTTATTCTATGACCAGCCGCAGAACCGTAGTTATATATATATATATATATATATATATATATATATATATATATATATATATATATATATATATATATATATATGTTTTTGCCATGCAGAAACTATTATGGTAACGTACTGATCTTTTCGGATCGAGCTGACATGCATGTCGTCGTTTTTTTTTTATATATGAAAGCCCAGTTGAATGATTGATTAGATGGATATTGTTTAAAGTGTGTCATATATAGCACTTTTCAGCTCGTTGCTCACTTGCTCTCTCTCTCTCTCTACTGCAGTAGTGAGGATCCAAGTAGTGTTGGGTGGCTCCAGCAAAGCAATACAACACGAGATCTAAAGGGAAATATAGTGCCTAGTGTAGCTACATGTGTGGTTCCAGCAGCATCTCGCTCTGGCCGTGGAATATATGGTGACGTTTCTATAGATACTTTTTGCCTGGAGTGAGTAGCTCTGAGGAATTAACAGAGCGAGGGTACGGTTCTGCTGCAACAAACATTATTGATGAAAGATGTGCTGTTTATCCCCAACAATCAGAATATTGTATTATTACTACATTACTAGCCAAATTAATTAAACCCTTCGGAGTACCAGAGATCAGTAACATAGTGCATGAAGAAAATCATTCAATGTCCGTACTGCAATTAGCATGCAAGAAAATGTTCTCTTTGAATGTACGAGTATAATAAATCATGTGGGGAGGGAGACATCCAGGAAGCATTACGGACTACTAAATTATATGGCGAGATATTTGTTGATCAACAACCTTGGATCCTACGATCTAACGGACCACACATGATGCTAGACTGCACGGAACTGAACCTTCATTGAGTAACAATATATATTAGTAACTGTACTATAGGCCCCAGGATGCAAGTTCTAATTACTTTGGGTCATTTAGTCGACCAAAAACTTGTTCAAATGAAGTAGAATAATCATATAATTTTATGTAATTTTGCCCGTCTGGGTGTCCCCTTCTTTTTAATAGCGGGTAGCTCAATCTCCTGCTGGTTCGTTCCAAAAAAATATGTAATTTAATTTGAGGGGAGAAATGAAGTAGAATGATATATTTATTTGATCGTAATTAGTTAGTTTACCCAAAACACCAATATTGGTAAGCAACAGCTGCATCCTTAATAACTACTAAGGACAGTACAGTACAGTCTCTCTGTCTCTATATATGTCTGTACTGAATGCGAGCTGAGCTGAGAGATTAGATTTATATTTACGATCGATAGAGAGGTGCTAATATATAATAATACATGTAGATAGAGGGTAATAATCACCGTACCTGATTTTGCGTGAGCAAGTAGCGGTTGTGGTGGGCAGACATGAGGTAGGGACAGGGCAGCGGCAGCGGCACCGCCCCACTTTGGTGTGCGAAGGGTGGTGGCCGCAAGAACCAGGCCACCTCCTGCTTCCCTGCTGGCGACCCTGCAGCTGCTTGCATTCTGCATCATGCATGCAAACGACGTATATGTACGAACAACATACGTACATACGTCAATGATCATCTATCAGTACTTTGTTCATATACATACATACATATATATAAGTGGGACACATTTTTTCTACTCCCGGGAGTAGGTACTCCAATCTTCAATAAACCACATTGCGTATGTTTGCATACTCATTTATCAGTTTGAGTATGTTTATATACTCATTTTAAGATACTACAAATTAAATCTTACTACGTGAATTTTTTTCAAAAGAACCCATATTTTTAATATGTTATTATAATACTATGACAGTAGTATATAAAATTAGTATAACCATATACTCTATGTATACTTGTATACTTGACTTACATACTACCTTAGATGGTCTAGTGTGATCATATACTTCATCTACATACACTTCGTCGAGCCATATACACCTAAATCTAAAGATATATGCATGAGAGTAACTTTTATATATATATATATATATATATATATATTGCTATCCCATCCTATGTACGTAGCTAGCCATGTAGGGTAGTGCACAGATCCTTCCGTTATCGCAGTATAGATATTCCTAGTTTGATGCTATACTACGTACCAGGTCGTACGCGGTACGCAGAGAGAGAAAAGGAGAGATCGAAGAGAGAATCAGTCTCGTGACGCACTGAGTAGTACGGTGTACCAGCTCAAGAGAGACAATGAATACAACGACAGGCAGCAAAACAGTTAAAAACATCAGATTACACGAACAAAGATGCATGCAGAGGAGCAGCAGCAGCAGGACGCATGCATCTTATATCTGTCATAGTCGTAGGTACACAAGGAATTAACTCCAATCTGCCACACGGCCAGCAGGGCTGGTCGTGGTCGATCGAGAGAGAGAGAGAGAGAGAGAGGATCTCTAGTAATCTACTACTAAGGCCGCGTTTAGTTCGCGCGACTACAGTGTTGTTTTGTTTTTATTTGGTAATAATTGTCAATCGTTGACTAATTAGGCTCGAAATGTTCGTCTCTCAAAGTACAACAAAATTGTGTAATTAGTTTTTTATTTCGTCAACATTTAATACTCCATACATATACCGTAAATTTAATGTGATGGGAAATTTATTTTTGTATAGTGCCAAAGTTTGAAAATTGAAGAAATTAAACATGGCCTAACTGCTAGCTGCACGCTGGGTCTGGGACAATGCAGTGTCGAGCCAGTGTGTTTAATGCAATGCGCTAGCTGCTTGCTGGCTGCTGGCTGCTGCTGCTGCTGGCAACCTGGCATGTCCATGCTCGCCACTACCGTGCCAACTCTATTTAAGCAGCTGGCTGGCCGGGCTGCACTGCATGCCTGCATGGCTGTGAGCTGAGCTCTACACTTATAGTGCTGGAGCATGCATGGTACCTGCACGCAGGCTTTCGGTCAAGGGTAATGGACGATGGATGGATGGATCGGATAGCTAGATAGATGGATGGAGCTGCGGCAACTGCATCATGCAGCTAGCTAGCAGCATGTCCCCCTGCCGCGCGCACCGCCCTCCGTCCTCGTGTCTTCTTCTACTTGTTTCTTGCCAAGATTCCGGCCACCACCTCTCGTCGTCGCATAATATAAGGGCATGTTTACATTCCAAAAATTTTCACACCAAAGTGTCACATCGAATCTTGCGGCACATGTATGGAGTACTAAATGTAGACGAAAAAAAACTAATTGCACAGTTGGATGAGAAATCGCGAGATGAAACTTTCGAACCTAATTAGTTTATAATTAGACACTAATTACCAAATACAAACGAAAGTGCTACAGTAGCCAAATAGTAGCCAGACCCAACAAATTTTGGGAACTAAACACGCCCTAATGTGTTATGACCCTGAGTGATGGGAAGCAGCGCAGGGGGACAATTGGTATGGATCTGAATGACATTCAATGAATCATCACAACGGACGACGACTACTACTCACTACCGGTGGTCGCCGGCCGGCCGGCTGTGCAGCAGCGGCCACTCAGCCGGCCAGCCGGCTTCTTGCACATAAGTGTATCGATCCGTCGCATTGTTGGGACCTCGCTCATCAACACAGCTAGCTAGCTAGCTGCAGGCTGCATGCTAGTAATTTGCAAGTTAGTGGTGGGACTGTAGTCTGTTGGAGGCAATCTGGCAATGCAAGGTGAGAAAGTCTTGCCATCCATCATGATGTCCTTGGCCGCCAGTGTCTGGCTACCATAGCTAGCTGTAGTATGTAGTACCAGCTACTATGCAATGAGTTAATGCCCTATTCGCTTGGCCGATAAGCCATGACTGAAAGTGTCGTTGGCTAATTTATTGTGAGAGAAAAATACTGTTCATTGGCTGAAAAAGTATGGCTTATAAGCCAAACGAACAGGGCGTAATAAGGTGACTGCTGCTTGCCTCTGCACCACAATTTTTTCGCAATAATATGACTAGCTAGAGGGCTTTACTTGCCCTTTAAAGACGTGTCCCCCATGCAGGCCAAAACCCTAGCCGCTATATATGCATATGCATGTGCGCGTGGTAGATACTGCATGGATAGATGGCTCTATCCCTGTGCCATACTGTGCACGCAGCAGAGGGATCCAATCGATCGATCGATCCAGCAATTAGTTGGATCGGAGCTTTATATTTGCTGCCACTGCCAGCAGCATACTATGCATGACGCACAGCCGCACAGGGTGTGCATTCAGTTCAGGTTCCTCCAGCGCGCGCGCGCGAGCTGCTTTTGCTTGCGTGCGTGCGTGGGAGTTTGGAATCGGCAGCCAAGGACGACGCATCCATCACCATCAGACATGCATGCATGCACAACACTGTCATCCTACCTTCCCCAGCTACTCACCACCAGAAAAATAAATTATAAGATATTTTGGCTTTTCTAGATACATTGCTTTTAGTATGTATCTAGACATAGGATATATCTATGTGCATAGCAAAAACTACGTATTTAGAAAAGCCAGAACATATTATAATTTGGTATGGATTGAGTAATTGTTTCACTTTTTTTTAAAAAATTCTGGACACGCATGCATTCAACAATGGGAACGAAGGCATGCAAGGTGCCCATGGCCCACCTGAACTAGAAAATCACAATAATATACCCCCCCACCCCACCCCCATGCATATGATATATAAGATTACCATGGAGCATGACAAATATTATTGTTAATCTTTTCAGATTGTGTTCATATGAAAAAATATTCTCAATCTTGATGCTTATATATGTAAACAAAAGATGCGTATGTTAATTAATAACCAAATAAATAAATAGTTTTAAATAATATCAAAATTAGTTGTACATGAGTGTATAATATATAGTTTGTGTGCATAATATGGGTGGCAAGTTTTCTTCAATTTCCTGGCAAGAACTAAAGTAAGGGTACGGTTGAGACGAAAGCTTCTAAGGGCTGATCGAATAGTTTTAAAAAAAATCTAGCACATGGATGTTGAGTAATAAGGAGAGAGAATGATAAGTTAGCTTTTCATGAAGAGCTAAGCTCACACACTTTCTTAATTTTTTTGTGTTTATGTTCACACATTTTTCTACACTAGCATGTTGGGTTACTCTATTTTTATCTTATTTTAAGTTCATATAGCAAGTTGACTCTATTGTTGATGGTGCCCTAAACATTATTAGTAGTATTTATTATTACACATAGGAAGCCTCTTTCTAATGCAAGTAATGTCCATCAGTCTGGTATATACTACCTGACATAAACATTGTGTTTTAGCCCTAATAATTTTCTTATGTTTGATATAAAAAAGAGAAGTTTATTTTCAGCTTTTGTGATTCAGGCATCGATCCAACCTCGGCTTCATTTATGTTGTACACATTGGTTAACACAGCTGCCTAACTAGGTACACAATTCTTTCATTTATATGATTTATTCATAAAAGTATAGGATAATAGAAAAAACTTCAAATGTTTTGTACATGTACATCCAATGTCCTTGATTCTAACTAATACCAACATATTGTACTATAGGTTTTTACAATGATCTGTATTATTCAAATAAACTAAATTTCTCTCTCTTTGTATTGTCAAACTATTGAATTTAACTAACGATCATTGTGAATATATCAAAAACAATTGCTTTGTGTTACATTTTCTTATAAGGTTGTTCGCTTATCAACTGAAATAAATTTGTGAGCAAAGTTGTGCTCCATGGACCATGCAAATATCAAAAGGGTACTTGATTTTATGATCGGAGAAGGAGCATCACTAACATTTAATAAAAAGTAGGTGCTCATTAGTCTTAACTATTATATATTCAACATAAATATAAACACATATTATGGCATTGTATAGCTAACTTAATTTAAACTATGACCTCTATATATGTTAACATATAAATACCAAAATTATTGTCATAGCAGTATACTTGACCATATATGAAATATGTGCATGAACCATGAATAGCATGTCAGTATATATGATCCTTTCACTACCACATGACAGAAAATTAGTGGGTTCACTAGTGTCATCTCGTAAACATTGGACATAAGGTTCCACTGCCCCCTCTACTTACTCCCTCTGTCCCAACAGGAATAGAAACCTTGTTATCTGAGGAGACAATCCTTAATTAGTTTGACCAAATATATACACAAAAATATACTAATTCATATTTATGATGCATAATAAGTATCGCTAGATTAACCATAGAATATATTTTCATAATAAATTGATCGAAGATACAAATGTTGATATTATTTTCTAGAAACCTAATCAAACTTGAGATTGTTTGACTTATTGAGAAGCCTGGTTTTATTCTTTTTTTGGGACAGAGGAAATAAGAAAAAATATAGTGACGGCTTTGAACATGTGCAATCAGTTGTTCTAATTTTTACCAAATATGTTATTATAATATGCAGTTTAATTATATGAAGGACGTTATAAATTAACTTTGATTAAAATGGAAGGACACCCCAACAGTTTTGTGCTTTTTGAACATATGATGATCAAAATGTGGTCAAGCTAGTGCCATCCTATTAATTTCAAAAAGTCAGAAAACATTAATTAGATTGAGATTTGAGAGTAAAATATTGCACATTGCATTGATTACAGGGAAGCTCAATATGTACAATACATACGGGACTCTTTCTATGTTTTATTTTTCACAGGTGCTATATATCTTCTTGATCAAATGCTCCCTAAAGGTGTGTCTCATGTGAAAAAAAGGGGATAAAACTGCTTGCAACACGTGTTGTAGTTTGACTTGTTAAAGTTGGATGAAGGACACCTCATACAGAAGCATGTGGGGCCAAAACCTGTAGCTATAGAAGATGAGAGAAGAAATGCAAGAGCGATGCATGACAGCAAGTCAGCAACACTACTCACTAGCCATGAGTGAAAGAAAGACATGAGAGATCATTTTTTCTAAAAAAAAGATAGAAAGGAAATATGAAATGATGCATGGGATCATAGTGGCCATGATCGTGCACTATACATTTTTTTAGAAAAAAAGATTTTTATTCCGGTCTCTGCGCATAAGTTATATATGTGCACGACCATCTATTTATTAAAACACACACACTGACTAAAAACAACTTGCTCTCAAAGAGGGACACAAAAAACAATAGCTTCGAACTTAAACACCAAGTCTATTAAAAGACAACCATCCATATTAATTAGTGCATTATACATAAAAAAAATTAAACACACGCGGGGTATCCACGTGAATCGTCAAAATGAACAAATAGAGGATGCAGATTCGCAGAGGAAAAGTAACCAATGCAAGGGAATAAATATATAGGGCATCACTGTACCGGATTATATATATGCAATACTAACACACACAATGACACAATACTATATATAATAAGCAGTCGATGATGTGTACAAACCTACTATTGGCGGTAGCATTGGAAGTACTGTTGCTAAACGCTTCGAAGCCATTCATTTCACAACCCCTCTGCAGAAAGCACATATCTCTCATCATCTGCACATGGCCTGCAGCAAATTATATATGCATGCCTGTCAAATCACTGAAATTTACAACGGAGATACATCTATATGAACATATGTGGCTATTCCCTAGGTATTTCCAGATACTGTGTAGTAGCTCAAAGACAAATACTGCTACTTCATTTTTAAGAAAAAGAATGGTAGTGCTTGTGCTTTATGGGACTGACTGGAAATACTAACCAGGCACGCCCCATGCCAATAATTCAGCTAGGATTATGTGATATGACCCTACTGAGGAATATCAACTCAGGAAAAGAAATGTTTCTGGAGCTGACATGTATGTAATGTTTTACCTGCAGCACATGATCTGTCTGCCGTCGTTCCCTTCACTGTTCGATACATCTGCATCAAGTAATAAAGCAAATAAGAAAACAACGACATGGAAAGATTAGACTGATCCTTGTGCTGCCATTTGGTTTACTCTTGCAACGTGCTAAGAAAAAAAAACATTAGTTCAATTCGTTGTGGTTGATATATTACTAGTTAAATAAATGATTCAGATGAAAGAGACAAGTACTTGGCGACAACTACAAACAAATGCCAAGAAGAAAAGGGTGAAAGGGGCTGATCAAGAGATCATCAAACTGTGTTACCTTTTTGTTTGGTTCTTGACATGAGAAACACTAGTACTAAGTACCAAATTCTACTGGTGAGAGAGAGAGAGAGAGAGAGAGAGAGAGAGAGAGAGAGAGATTATATTAAGGTTTTGGTAACTTGCCTGCAAGTGGCTCTTAACATGAGCCAATGTGAGATCCTTAACGTTCATCAGCTCCAGCACTGACTTTGGCGTTGCTCCTAGAAAGAAAGGTACAATTCTTAATTTGTAGCCAAAATGAAACTGAAACCAAAGACTGAACAATTCAGTGAAGTCTGCAAGCTACAATTAAGTGGAAAGAAAACAAAGAAAAGCACTCCATGTTTGTTATAGTTATAGGCAAGGGGATATATCATATCAATATAATCAAGCGAGAAAATATAATAAAAGCATATTCACCCAAGATTCCAAGAACTTAATAAGTCTTGAGCAATTGCACTCTTGATCACCAGTTCCCCACAGTGAGCTATATGAAATTGGATCATCATGTCGTTATTAACGACAAGCGCAAACCCAATGAATTGAAGCACAATCAGTTGGCTAACAATTTAACCAGCGGCAGATCTGCCAGGGGGGCTAGGGGGCTCGAGCCCCCCCCCCTACCATGGCTGAGCCTGTGGAGCCCCCCTAAATTTTTCTGCCATTGGAGGATGGAAAGGAGGAGCTTTAGCGTTGAGCTGAGGTTGAAGACGATGCTGGAGCGTTGAGCTGAGCTTGATGCCTTTGTCCCGTGTGTACTTAAGCCCTCCTAGATTTTCATCCTAGATCCGCCACTGAATTTAACAGAACATGGATGGAAATTAAACAAGCAAACAAGAACGTTCTTGAAGAACGTACTCTCATGGCCGCCAAGGAGCTCTACAGCATGCACGAAGTGTGCATGAAGAGCCGTGGTCCACCTCATTCTTGGTGCTCTGGAGCTCCTCTTTCCACCACCGCTGCCACCATTCCCAGATCTCGTGGTGCCTCCGGATAACGCCGCCGATGAGCTTTTCTTCAACCTCTGGATCTGGCTTGGTTGGTGCAGCCTCTGCTGCTCCTGCTGGATGTCATCACACTGGCCATCCTGCTGCGCCACAGCTACCGTCTTCTCAACAAGTCCGAGACACAGCGTCTGCTTGGAGAAGAACATGCCCGTTTCGTGGTTTGCTTGGCCGCCGCCACTGTTCCTAGCATCGTCGGGCGGCGATGGAGGACTGATATGGAGCGATAGATCGGGGGCCGCGGCGGTTGTATCCATTGCAAGCTGCTGCTGAACTTCTAAATTGGCAACAGAGCCTTGCCGCCTGTTCTTGCTCGAGGAGAAGAAATGGATCTTGGTGATTAGGTCATGAGTGGCATATGACATATGCTTGTTCTTGTATAGGGGATGCGTCTGTTGTGCATGTGGGTGAGGAGGGAGGTAGTAGATACCTAGAGATCGATCAGAGGAGCAAAGTTTGGTATTGTTATGCTGGTACAATTATAGGGATAGCCCGCAGCTAGTGAGGTTGCATTGGACGACGAGGGTGATGAGAGAGAGAGAGAGATGGAACGCGTTGAGAGCTAGGTGGAGCAGGCACCAATATATTTTTTTTCTTTGTGTGCCGTTTTGAAGGGCCGGGCCGGGAGTACAGCGTAGCACTGAGACATGGTCCAAACCGGTGGATGGGATGCATGGACTGGAAACTGATTGACATGATATGTGCACCTCTCTGAGCTAGTGAATGTGTCGTTTATATTGTATGTACTGGCTAAAGCATATTCCTTCCTCACCATCCATTTAGTCAAGTGGCAGGACATGTACGGTATTTCTTTGGGCATGTATGGATTGATCATGTCAAAAAGGTAAAACTAGGAATCATGAGTGAGAATTGAATGTGTGCTCTATTATCACTAGGAGAGGAGTAGCAATTAAAGAGCGTAACGTGCACGTGGGCGCACCGTTTTATTGCAGTAAATTAATTGCATAATTAAAGCCACTGGAATTACTAGTATATACTCCCTCGGTTCAAAATTATGTCACTTTAACTTTTTTATATCTATTTTGTTAAGTATCTAAATATATTGTATATGTATATTTAGATATAATAGAAAATTTTATATACCAAAAAAATCAAAGCGATTTATAATTTGTAATGGAGTATCTGTTTTCCGAACCCTAGGAAGTAAGCACATGCTAGTATACGTACCTACCTAGTACTATGGTACGGTGAGTGGTGTGGTTAGCTCCCGGTCCTTAGTACCATTCAATTTCCATTTACCACCCCCAAAAATTCAATTTCTAGGGAGAAATATAATTTCCACACATCAAACCAAGGTTCATAGTTGACGCCATATGTTTTACATATGATTGAATTCAACATTATTCCTTTCTATACTGCTAGAACACATTTTTAATCAGGGAACGGTATATAATTTATTTGTGTATTGGGGTCTACCAGAAAATTTCTCGTTTGGTATGAATTACTAAGAGAGAATTATCTATTTGGTGCTGAAACAAATCAGTCTTCCTCATTTGGCACTCAAAAACTCGAACTTCTTTATCTGGCACCAAGTTAATTTCCTTCCCTAGATAGCACTGCCGTCCATTTTGGATAGTAACGGTGTCTAGTGGCTTTCAAAATAACATGAATGCCCTTGTTTGTAGAAGAAGAAGTCCATTCATGTTGTGCTGGTATGCCACTGTGTGAGGCCAGTGCTCCATTGGGCGAGGCTGCCCTGGCTCCATAGCCGAAGCTTGGGCAGGCTAACCTGGAGCTAGGGGAGGCCGTCCCGCAGCCTCTGCGCGATGAACCACAGCCGGGGGATTCTACCCCATCATCCTTCTCTCGACGAACCACGGCTTGGGGAGGCTGGCCCATGGCCTGTGAGCATGACCGCTGCTACCGGCTAGCGAGTCCACTGCGCCGCCTCCGCCACGCCGCGTGCTGGCCGAAGGGGTTGCGCTGCCTCCACCATGCAGTGGGCTGGCCGGAGCGCCGGCCCGTGAGCCTACCTCGTCGTCGGGACCGTGCCGCTGCCTGCCTCCGTCGAGTGAAGCTGCCCCACCAGAGGGCATGCGGAGTTGGTGTTGAGCGTTGCCGACCGCAAGATCCTCTGCTCCTACTTCCACCATCGATCTAGTGTTTGGTGTCTTTTCTAGGAAGAAGGTCACGCAGCCTCATGGAAGACAGGAGCGCTCAACCGCTCAAGGAGTCGAGGGCGTGACTAACAGAGGGGTATGTTGGTCATACGGAGAAAAAACTTACATGGTCAAAACAGTCAACTATTAGATGGATGGGCAAAATGGACCACAGTGCCATCTAGGAAAGGAAATTTCAACTTGGTGCCAAATAAGGAATTTGGAATATTTGAGTGCTAATGAGAAAGACTGATTTATTTCAGTGCCAAATAGATAATTGTCTCAATTATTAATTGTAGAGCGAATGGAAATCATATATTATATTTTTCATTGTAATTTAGTGATTAATTACAACTGGAAAATGGTCACTACAACTGGTTTATGACCCCCTTCGAAACCAATTCTATTCAAGATGTAAGCATGGGAACTACTCTTAGGAAGCCCATCTCTAGAAATCGATTACATAGATGGCACTCTTAAGAGGCCTGCAATTGGCCTCTAAGAATAGTTGTCTTGAAAAAAATCATAAATTTTCATAAGAAGTTAAAGATGAATTTTACACCCAAATTGTAGTTGACAAGTTTTAAATTTGAAACTATTTAGAGTGCAAAAATTTAATTTTAAGCTCTCAGATTTTGAATTGAAAATTTAAAATTTAGAATTTTCAAACAACCTTGGAAGTTTACCCAATCTATATTGAAATTGTAGTTCTCAATGTACTTTGTAGTTCACAAGTATTTTTGAAATTGTTTAGAGTCATCCCAAATATTCATTTTTTAAAATATTACAATTTGAGCTTCAAATTTTTGTAATTTTGTATGGAGACACACCATATGCCAAAATTGTAGTGCTCGACATGATCTAAAGCTTTATAATTGAAACATTTTTCATTTGAGATTGTTTCAAGTTTGAAATTTTCAAAACAAGATTACTAAACGTTAATACAAAAGGATAGCATCTTATCTTTAGTCACAAGTGAGTGTACAATGTAGTGGTAGGGAGGGAACGTGCAAGACACGAGACGTCACAGGTCAAATCCTACAAAGTGCACGTGCACATATTTCCAACGCGCCCCTGCCTCTTAAAATGGGGTTTTGTAGTAGTTAGGGTTGTGATATTGAAGAGTATTAATCCTGATGCTTGCCACCAAAATTGCAGCACCTTCTATACCTAAATAGGATATGACACTACTATTAGACTTTTTTGATAAGTGTGTCTATCCCTTATCATTTGCTTGCTCTCCTCTGCCGCTTGCTCACCATATCTGGCCTTAGCCTCCATTATGGTAAGTGTCTATTCCTTGATCTGGCCTTCCATGCAATCTGCCACCGCCATCCATGAAACCATGCTGAACAGGCTTGGAGTTATCACTAGTAGAGAACAGACCTTTGATCCTCAGTCAAAATGGGCTCTAGTCCCGGCATTTTTTGCGCCCGGGACTAGAGATACCTTTAGTCTCGGTTGGTGGCTCCAACCGGGACTAAAGGTCCCCGCCTTAACGGCTCTTCAAGGCCAGCAGAGAGGGCGAGGACCTTTAGTCCCGGTTGGAGCCACCAACCGACTAAAGGTATACTTTTACTCCCAGTTGGTGGCTCCAACCGGGAGTAAAGGTCTCTCTGGGCGTGGCTGCGCCGGGGTTGAAAGTTACCTTTAGTCCCGGTTGGAGCCACCAACCGGGACTAAAGGTCCCCTTTATATCCCGGCGGTCTCCTTCTTCCTCCCCGAGCCTGAGCTCAAGACATTTTGAAGCTCACTTTGCACTAGTGTTCTTGCTTCCTCCCTCCCTCCATTGTTCCTCCATCCATTCTTGATTCCTCCGTCCGATTTCTTCGATTCCTCCGTCGATTCTTTAGTTGTAAAGGTTACCAATCTCATACTCTCATTTTTCACAATTGTCTTATCTCATTTTGTTCACTATATATATATATATATCGTTCTTTATTGTGGTTTTTTTCATTTGTAAGCAATTTGAGCTCAAAATCACTTCAAGCTTGCATATTTACATGAAAGAAGGTTAAAGTAGCTAGTTGAACTTATGGACCGTGTTCATCTCGGCGAGCATGTTCTCTCAGCCGAGCAAGATAACATGTCAAGGAGGAGCTTTGATTCTACGAGGAGAGCGGCAACGGTCGTGGAAGACCGTGTTCCTTCTCGTAGAATCGGAGCTCTTCCTTGACCAAGTACGGTGCCGTCCGTGGAGAAATGCTCACGAGAGATGATCACGTAAGCAAGGTCAACTAGTGATTCTCAATCACCGTACCCAAAACGTAGTATATATATAAATATAAACTTAGAAAATAGTTAGAAAATTATAGAAAATCCGTACTAGTTGAACTTGCGGACCGTATTCATCTCGGCGAGCATGTTCTTCCGCCGAGCGGATAACGGACGTCAAGGAGGAGCTTTGATTCTACGAGGGAGAGCGACAACGATCGTGGAAGACCGTGTTCCCTTCCTCGTAGAATCGAGCTCTTCCGTGACCAAGCACGGTGCCGTCCGTGGAGAAATGCTCACGAGATGATCACGTAAGCAAGTTCAACTAGTACGGATGGTTATTTATTCATATGTCCCGATATCGCCGCAGAGATCTCATCAATCACCGTACCCAAATGTAGTATATATATAAATATAAACTTAGAAAATAGTTAGAAAATTATAGAAAATCTGTGTTCATCTCGGCGACCATGTTCTCTCGATCGAGCGAATTTAACGGACATCAAGGAGGAGCTTTGATTCTCTGAGGAGAGCGCACAGTGCGGTCGTGGAAGACCATGTTCCTTCTCCTCGTAGAATAAGCTCTTCCGTGACTAAGCACGGTGCCGTCCGGTGGAGAAATGCTCACGAGATGATCATGTAAGCAAGGTCAACTAGTACGGATGGTTATTTATTAAAACATGTTTTTGAGATATAGATAATTTTATAGTTTCTTAATTTTATTTGTTTATAAAATGAGAAATTTATAGTGTATAAAATAAGTATAGAGAGTATATGGCAATCGCTTGGGTCCTCGGCCTCTCATGGGTTTCCAAAGCAACTTAGGCGGGTCTCCTCTCATTCCATGCGGCAAGTGTCGTGATGAGCGAAGATTGTGATGAGTACCGAGAGTGAAGAAGGAGGGTCCCAACAAGGATCGTATCTTCTACAAATGTCCGGATCGCAATGTGAGTTATTTTATCGTATTTAATGATTATGGTTAGTTGAAAGCTCTAGTTTGGTTTTGGTGAATTGATGAAACCCTAAGTGCT